GCCGGGATATCCAGAAGCCAAGCGGGGAAGGGCCACTGTCTATAAATTTCATCGGCGGCGCGTTTTTCGTTTCGGTCGAAACTGCCCACGGCCGACATATGCAAAACGTACCAGTGGTCTAAACCACCAGCATCCCAGGGGGTCTTAGGCCCCTCTGGGGAGGCTCTGACGCAAGTGCATATGGACCCGCGCGGCGCACCGATTCAGGCACCACATTAATGGCATAAGAATGCAAAATGTACTGGTGTTTAACAGTTGTGTGTAACATTTAAGCCACATGGGCTGAGCTGCCCCCCTCCCCCCCCCACACACACACCTTCCCCCCCCTACAACCACCTCCTAGGCTGCCGCTCCTCTTGCCCTATATTTTTGTTTTTACTTTTTCTCCTTTTTAATCAACGTATAGACTGCAGTTCCTCCTGCCTGGGGCCAATTCCCACTAGCAGCATTGAGTTTCCTCAACGTCCGGATCTGGACGTGTTTGTGAAGATGTGCGCGTTTGAGGAAACTCGACACGATTTTCTGCACATCTCCTCAAACGCGTCCACATTCCGGCGTTGAGGACACTCGACGCTATTTTCTGAACATCTTCTCAAACACGACCAGATTTGGGCGTTGAGGAAACTAAACCCTGCTAGTGGGACTTGGCCCCCAGGCTCGCATCTGTTCATAGCTTTGCCACGTACTTCCAACGAGGAATCTTTTTATTAAGGTTTCTTTTTCTTATGGCAAGCCTACCTCTGACTCTTTCAAGGGAGAACTAGAGCACAGTCACGGTTCGAGTTGCAAAATGCAGTCTAGGCAAAACGCTAAAAATGTTGAATGAATACAAGCTAGCTTTAAGGTCCGGTGGAGGTGTGTTATGTTCGAGGGATGCCTGGAATGCATTTTCAAACTGTTTTCATGACGGCACAAAAGTTGTCCCTTCATTTAAACCACCAGTACCCTGCTCACGCAGAATTTCCCGACTTCCTGAATTCATGGAAAACGTGGGCAGGCCTGGTAAAGGCTTGGTACAGGCTCGGGGCACATGCGGATGGTCGGTCGTTTTCGAAACGAACAACCGACCACGGAGGACAACAGTGAGGTAAAGAAGAAAAAAAAGAAAAAAGAAAAAGAGACGTACTAAAAAAAGAAAGCAATGAAACTGGCGTTCACCACGGCGCACGCAGCGGCCTGTGAGTCACGACACAAGCTGGGGCGTGGCTGCCCTGCAGTCCAAAACAAAAAAGCGAGTGTGAATCTGCCACAAAATCAGCGGATGTTACAGAGAAGATTAGCATGGTCGGTCGTTTTCGAAACGAACAACCGACCACGGAGGACAACAGTGAGGTAAAGAAGAAAAAAAAGAAAAAAGAAAAAGAGACGTACTGAAAAAAGAAAGCAATGAAACTGGCGTTCACCACGGCGCACGCAGCGGCCTGTGAGTCACGACACAAGCTGGGGCGTGGCTGCCCTGC